TAACGTCGGTGGCGTTTTCCGCGGACGGCAGCAGCCTGTTCTCCGCCTCCAGCGGGAAGGAGGTGGTGGAGTGGAGCGTGGAGACGGGGACCGTCGCGCGAAAGCTCAAGTGAGAAGAAGAAAGTTGTTCTTTTCAAAGGCAGCAAGACATGTAAATGTCATCCGTAGCGTGATGCCGGACACAGCAGTTATGGGAACTGAACTGGGTAAAGAATGATAAAAAAAAATTGGGGAATGTTCTCCAGGTGTAGATGCTTTGTGGCGGAAAAACATTTGGGACTATGGTGGGTTTCGAGAAACTGGGAACATGGAAGGAACTCGCCAGCGCGAGGATCACGTGAAGGACGGTGCACTCTGTAACACCACGTCCCCTCCGCACGGTTAGCGTTGCGTACTAAGCTTGTGTGTTGCGCACGTTGGTGGTGTTGCGAACCACAAAAGGTGGCATTTTGCCCAGCTGCGATGAGAATCTGTAGTGCCGGACGTATCTCCGACTACGCCCTCCCCATCTGACCCCCCGCTCACGTCCTTCACTTCGTTATCATATCCAGGGGGTTCAAGCATGGCGCGACGAAAATCTGCCTTCATCCCGCCGGCAAGATCCTCGCCGTCGCTAGGTTAGACCAAACACAGCACCCTGCTGCTGTGCTGTGGTTGCTGATAGTCCTACATCATCGTTAGGCGATTGCAGTGATGATGGCGGTTGTACAGGTTGTCTGTGCAGTGATTTTCCTGTTACGTGTGTATCTCGGGTGGGATACATGAACGATAGCCCATGCCGGGATATGATATCGCGTGTTAGGTCACCGGTTTTTCATCTCCGGCTTGGCTTGATATCCTCGGTTGTCGACAAAGGTCTCAAAAGGTTCCCAGCACTCTCGATCCAGCAAGATCAACGTAACCCCACGTCGCCCCGCGCCGAATGCTTCCGTCCTCTCGAGGGCGCGTGGTCAACGGTCCAACAGTTAAAAGGCATGAGAAACATGAGTACTCCCCCCCCCGCGCGCACGCGCTTATTTTCTCGCTACACGGAACCCCAGCTCGGCCATTCGACTGCTAGACCTGACCACCGGCAAGACCGCCCGCAAGCTCTCGGCGGGCCACGCCGGTTCTGTCCGCCTGCTGTCCTTCTCAGCCGATGGCCGCTACCTAGCGTCTTCGGCATCCTCAGCAAGGTAAGGAGCCAGCGAAGGCAGCAGTTATAGGGAGATGTCTGTTTTGGTGATGGGTGTTGGCGTGTTCTTTTTTTGGGGGGGGGCTTGAGTGGTGTCCGAACCTGCTGGATTGGCGAAGCGGTAGTTCGTTTTTTTTTCCACCGCAGCGGCGGTTACTCGAGCCTCAACCTTGTCGTAATTTTGCTTGGCACACCGGACGCGCCTGGGTGGTGTCGGAGTGCAACCTTGGTGCTTGTGAGCCCGCCGTGTCGAATATGCCCCTGTTCGCGCCAAGTTTAGTGTTGTTCTTGTCGTTTTTGACAATACAACTGTTCCGATCTCTGCTCAGTAACCTCAAACATCGGCACCGGCTCTTCAACTGACGCGGACGCCTCCCGTGGTGACAGGTCGAATACCCGAAAGAGGGTGCAGAGGGGGTCCCTGTACAGTGTCGGTTCAATTGTGCCAATGCCCGGTACAGTAGTCCCGGTATTATCGGCTGGTACACACTGAGTTTCCAAGTCATTGTCAGTACTGCGAATAGTGCCGGTACGGTATAGCGCCAGTTTACTTTCTGGGCACATATACAGGTAACCCTCTGTATACACACTAGAGAAACCAGAAGTTCCAGGAAAAATTGAACAATCACCACGAACGTGATCAACAGAACACAAAAGAAAGAACAAAATATTATCGTGTACATACTGCTTTGTGTGCATTTTTCCTGACCAGGTTCGCCAATGTTTTCGACGTGGCGGCGAGCGAGGTCCCTCCCTCCGAGCCGGTGTGCACGCTGGGTTTCGCCGCTACACCGGCGTTTTTGTCCCTCCACGCCGCTTCTCCCTCCGGAGGATCCGGAGGAGGCGGAGATGCTTCGACCGACCAGGTTACGGTTGTGGCGGGTTTCGACACCGGAGGCGTGTCGGTGATGAGAACCCGCCGCCAGACCGATGGGAAAGGTGTGCGTTTCTCCGAGAGTGCTTACAGACCCTCCATGTTTCTAGCGCAGAGGCTGTTGTCCGGTTCCGCGTTGTGCCGAAGATGTGATGTTGGAGTCTCGTCGGTGTTAGGCCGCTGCCGATCGCTGCGTGAAGCGGGAATTTCCCCCGTGTCTCGGTTGGTTTTTTCCTTCATTGTTGCCTGTCGAGCTGAAGAATCTCCGAGCCGGGGTACCCCGCACAAGGACAGTTCTCCTCCGGACAGTAACCAATGCCGCTCAGACCCTGAGTAAAGTTGTGGGAACGTGACAGTTTTGTTTAGGTGGTCCGATGTCAGCGGAACCCCGACTTGTACCGCACGAATTCCCCTCAGCCCCGATGCCCCGCTCGGTCCCCGACCGCTTGTGGCCTTGCGACAAGATGGAGATGATGGATGATGGATGGCTATTTGGTAGTCTTGAAACCGTCTATTCGACGCATCTCTCTGGGCTACTACTAGACCGTGTGCGACGTGCCACGTGTTCTTACAGTGCGCAGTACTTCTCACGACCTCTTCTCAACCCGCTTCCCTTTCACCCGTCCGCATCATTTCTGTTCCGGAAAAAAAAACAACGGTCATTCGATGGCCTTGCTTTCAATTTCAACGTAACAGGAGGTGCGGTGTCCAAGCTGGACATCCGCGGGGCCGCCGGGGGCCCCTCCTCCCCAGCCGCCCTGCACGGCCGCCTGAGCAGCGAGCGCCCCTCCTCTGCGATCCTATTGGCCACGGGTTCCGCCGCATCCCCTGGCTTCGCGGAGGCGTCCTTCGAAGACGAAGCCGGTTCGTTGCTGTCGTCCTCGTCCGTCGCCGCCGCCGGGGGGCACGCAGACGGGGACGAGGAGGAGGAGGCGGGGACGGGAGACAAGGGGGGGGGCGCGCACGTTGTTGGTCCCGGGGAGCTCGGCATCCGAGGGGTTGAGAAGGACTCCGTGGGAGGGGGGGGGGCGCGTGATGACAAGATGGAGGACGCGGGGGGGAGGGAGGATAGTGACAGCAGGTGAGCATGGTGTTGACTGATGATAGGAATGTTTCTGATGGGGCAAAGGTGATGTCTGTTGTTGTGATGGTTGTGGTTGTTGTTGTTGTTGCCTCCCACGGTTTGTTTGTCGCACCTATCCTCTGCTGTGTTGCCTAGTGAAGGGTTGCTACTATTGCCGAAGGTGAGGGTGGTTTCCATCCGGTAATTGTCAATACACGGCGGCCACACTGAAGGCGGGCGTATCGTCCGTGCCAGATGTACGCCTGAAGAGAGTTGGTCATACCGTCTCTTGGATGTTCTCGTTGACGCTGCAAGTTTCGATCAGGATCAGATCGTTGGGGAGTGCCTGCTGTTCATGCAAAGTCTCAGTGGTACACGTCGCAACTGGTCGCCCCGGTGGTCTAGTGGGTAGCCTCGCAGCCTGCTAAGGGCCAGGTCATGGGTTCGAGTCCCGGCAGAGAAAGTTTTTTTCTCACTACATAAATCCTGGTCTAGGATTAAAGCGACGCGCTGCAAAGCTCGTTTGTTAGTAAACCATAATCGACTTCGTAAGTCGCGAGGGAAGGGATTGCTGTACGCTTCTCGCGATAAAAATACCTCAGGCATGAACCGCAGGAGGGGGTCCAACCCCGCCCTCCAATGTGACCCCGGTTGGGTCGTCTAGCTAGTAGAAGTGGAGGATAGGGGCCAGAGGGGCAGACGACAGAGTCCAATGATGGGAGAAAAACAACAAACAAAACGTCGCAACTGGTCTGTAGTTTGTTTGTAGCATCCACAGCAGAAGTTGCGTCTCACATTGTTCTTCGCGATATCATCGATACCATTTTCCCGAGATGCCGTGTCCATGCGTGTATAGACGCCGCCGCATTTTTTTCGGGGTTCTCTTTATTGCTGTCACGCTTCAAAGGGTGATACGCCAAGACTCTTTCGTACCACAGCCGAAAGGTATGTAGACCGCCGCCAGAATAGACACACTCGCTTCACACCCGCAACCACTCTATGGCTGGCTCCTGTGCCACTGTTATCGGAGGAAAGACATGAACTGCGTGGCGCTACATCCCCAATGGTTGTGACCACAAGCCGCACGCCGTGTGCAGCGACGTGGCGACCCTTTTCCTGCAGCTTGTGTTGTTACTGCATGCTGAAACGGCCTCCTCTCTCTCGCCTTGGCTCTGTTCTAATACGTGCGTTGCCGCCGACCATTACGGTCGACTGCCCAGGGCGCCCAAGCGATTGAAGGGCGGGGGCGAGGATGAAGAGGCCGGCATGACCATCGCCGATAGGCTTGAGGCTCTTTCGGCCGCCGTGGACCACGAAGCGGAGAGGGCTTGGGCGGATAAGGGGGGCCGCATGGCTTTGGCTTGGGCGCCGGGGGGGGAGGGGGGCGCCGTGCAGCCGAGGGCGGAGTCTCTCTCGACGGTACTCACGCAGGTGAGCCTTCTGCGGGCAGTCCGATTGGCCTTTGTTTTCTGATTTTGCCTTTTCTTACGTCCTCCGTCAAACCAAAAGTAAATAACCACAAACATCAAGAAATAAGCACGACCGAGAATCGATTGTTGCACTTAGACTACGGGAAGCCTGCTTTCGCAGAACGAGGCAAGAAGCGTCAAGCTGGCACGGAATGCGGCATGATATCATCTCCGCGTGTCTATTTTGTATTGACATGGATAGTTGTGGTTATTGTTGTTGTTTCACGTCGAGTTCTCGTTCTGTGTATGGGGCAGTGCAGCTGAGAGCGCAAACTCTCGCGACGCATCAGGCGAAGAGAAGGCGAGCCTTTGTTCGTCGCGGCGGTGTTCTTCCAAAGGAGACTCGATTCTGATCGAATGATATCGTCAGTGTTGCGGTTCCGCAATTACCGATCAGTGTGTTCACGTTTCTTATGGCCGCTGTCACACTTTCTGCCTGCGTCGTGGTCGCACTCTCTGCCTGTTTTTTTCACTTCCCTCGTCGCTGTAACCCACGTTCGTTTCCGTGTGGAACCATTTGTTGCGGTTCACGCGTGTGTTTTGTTGTTTTTGTCCTATCGTTTGCATGCTTTTTCCCTTCCGTATGGGCACTGAGCCCTTGAGTTGAGTATTTTTTTCTTGGTGGGGGGGTTAAGCGAAATCATCGCTTGCTCCGTTCGTGCCTCCCGGCAGGCGCTGCAATCGGGGGACGAGAGCTTGCTGGAGCAGTGCCTTGACGTGGTCGACCAGGGCGTGATCGAGGCAACGGTTGAGCGCCTGCCTTCTTCCAAGGTTTTGCAGTTCTTGCTCAGGTAAACAAGTACCGCAATCATCGTCCAAGACTGCTGTATGTGTACAGATTCGTACTTCTTGTGTCTGGTTCGGTGTGGTGCGCTTGGCTCTTCGACTGTTGGAGCTCTGCGGGCTGTTGGAGCTTGACCAACGTCTTACGTACCTGGCAGTCGGGCATGCCATTGTTGAGCGTTGTCTTGCAGTCGGCACCACCCACTCCTTTTTTGGTGACACTGCTGTGCTCTCATGAGCCCCCCGCTACACCTTAGTCGGAAGTTTTCGACCCGCAATATGCATAAAATCGAGTCTTGCATATCCGTGAAGAACTTTGCCGCCCCATCGATTGCCCTTGCCGTCAGTTTACCCCCCACCCCCCCATTCTGCGTCACCCCTCCAGGGTGGTGGCCAAGCTGGAGAAGCGTCCGAACCGCGCGGCCTCCCTGGGGCGGTGGATACGAGCCCTCTTGTCGTGCCACCTGGGTTACCTCGTTTCCGTCCCGGGTTTGCCGGAAAAGTTGGCGTTGTTGCACCAGCTGATCGACCGCAGAGTCGCGTCCTTCCCCAAGCTGATCCAGCTCCACGGGCGGCTCGATCTTCTTCTCGCCCGCGCTAAGGCTGAGAGCAGCAGGTAAGTACAAAGGGTTCTTGAATTGTTTTGTTTCCCGTGTGTGTTTGGCACAATGCTGAGAGCAGCAGGCGAGGAAGAAGGTGTCGGCACCCTCTGTGTGGGTAGGCAAGCCAATGGTTCCACCTTCATGGTTGCTGAGTATTTGGAGTGTGGTGATGTCGATCGAGGTGCTGCGAGGATAAAGAGTGTATGAAGGCTTCTGCAGCGGCGATGGTCAGCAGCGGTTGGTTCGAGCAATCATGCAGGCGTTGATTTTTTTTGCCGATGTCCGTAGCGAGTGCCCCGAGCTATCGCTCAGCTAGGTTGCCGGTGTCCATGTCGTCCGAACCAAGGCAAGAGGTTTCATGGGATCGGTGGAACGCCTCGGTCCCATCCCATGTTACAGTAGCTTGCAACCTCTTCCGCGTTCGAAAGCATGAGTTCGCCATCAGTTGGACATGCGACAGCCATTCTGGAGTCCCGGTGCGATCTTCTTGTCCCTCGCTCGTCTTTCACTTGATATAACGAGAAACGTCGAGTAGCTACGTTGTTTTCCTCGATGGCTGTTCGAAGTCATGCATGCAGAGTATTCCGCTCTGTTCGGCAATATGGGGCCCATGGGGATGCTCACATTCGTGCCGAAATTGTCTTGATATATTCAGACAGAGTATAGGTACACCCCGGCCTTGTATTCATTGAGGTCTGGTCATCTCCTTTGTTGGTTTTGGCGTGTGTGTGCAGGCGGGACGCGGCTGGGGCAAGGGCGATGGACACGCCGGAGTCGGTGTACAGGGAAGAGGACGAAGATGAGGAGGACGACGATGCCGAGGAAGAGGAAGAGGAAGGGGGAGCAGGTCGGTTCTTGTCGAACGTCGTCCTCGTGTTTTCGTTGATTTTTTTTTTCTTGGCATGTTGCAATTCGCAATGTCAAGCACCATCGGAAAGGCAATTGAAACTTCTGCCACCCCAAGCCGCAATACATGAGCGAAATATGCCACGCCTGCAGTTGCTGACTCCCTAGGTTGGATTCATCGAACACCTTGACGGCTTCGGTACTCCACTGCTTGGAGTCAACAAGCGGGGGGAAAGGCGTGGCCATGGCCCCCAGCCTACAAGCGGGGGGGGGGGGGG